TGAGTGTCTGCTTGGCAGCCTGGCCAGCAGTCTCAGAAGACCCTCCCACCCTTCCCAGCAAGCAGAGACCTCAAGGCAGATGTGGCACTTAAGAGGGGGGCACACTGAGGAGCTATGTGACACAATAAGGCCCAATTCCCATCTACAAGGGTTAGGATCTCTCTTTTAAATTTTATGTGCATTGGTGTTTTGCCTGTATGTATGTCTGTGTGAACCGGCAGTTGTGAGCTGCCATGTGGGTACAGGGAATTGAACCTGGGCCCTAACCACTGAGCCATTTCTCCAGCCCCGGGTTGGGATCTCTTTTACTGTGGCCTGTTCATTTCAGTTATACTTGTCACAGCAGCAGCCCGTTGGGGGTGGGGGATGGGGGTGACAGGACAGGGCGCGTTGTGCAAATGACCTCCATCTGTGTATCTCTGGCACCTGGTAGGGAGTGGGAGCTGGCAGTGCAGTCAGGTCAGACTCAAAAGGCCTTGATAGGCTGAGTCACGCCGATATCACGACCTTCTTAGCAGTGTGAGCTAGGCTGGGCCGGGAGTGGAGGCTCCATGCCTAAATCTGCCCCAGAGTCACCAGTGTCATGCCCTTGCTGTGGATCATGGCACTAACTGTGAGGTGACCTTGTTGCTATGCAATGCACCTTGTCAAGTCCCTACTCCACACGCCCTAACTGTGTTGCCCTTCTTTCCAGAACAGAGGCAAGGGTACTTGGCCAAGGTCATCCAACAAGGAGAAACACACACACAACATGGTGCCTGACACACCATGACCAGTACATGGGGAGGAACCCATATGTCCAGAGTCCCAGGCCCCCTCCCAACTCTGTTGGAGGCAGCTGGTCCTCTTCCCAAGGGAGTAAGGAGCCTGGGTGCTAATCAGCATCTTGCTTTTGGCGAGTCATGCATGTTCCTTATCTACAAAGTGGGTCATAATCCCAATCCTGACGGTTGACCCGAGCCAAAGCAAAACCGACTCAAACGGAAACCAGTCTGGACTGAAGGCTGAGCTTCCAACTTGGCCACGTGCCAAGGGGAAGTTGTACCCTTCCAGAGCCCAGGTGTTGGCGTGCAATCACCCAGTACAGCCCCAGGAACTGCTCTGTTTCCTTCTTCCTGCACACCAAGCTCACAGGCTGGAGTCCTGTGTTAGAACTGGAGCATGGGACAGAGACATGGAGTGTGTGTGTTTGTGGGTGTGTGTGTGTCTGTGTGTGTGTGCGTGTGTGTGATGTGGTGGTGGTTTCCGTGGGCAGGGACTAGGTCACACCAAGCCTGGCTGCCATGGGGGAAGGGTCGCCAGCCTGGCAGGCGCTGGACAGTCTGGGGTGAAGTGGGAGGCCTTTGGCGGCCACAGAGAACAAAGGAGTCAGAGTTGCCAGGGTATTCTGTGGAGCTGAAGCCAGCAGTGGAAGGTCTGGGAGAGGGGCATTTCAACTGTGGGAAAAGCCTCTGTTGTCCCATGCCAACACCCGATGCAGCCTGAGCCTCTGGACCCATGCTGGGAATGAGATGCCCCAGAACTCTGTGCTCTCCCTAGAACTGCACAGCTGTCAGGGGTGGGGAGCAGGAGATGCTGGAGGCAGACACACAGGGCCTGCAACCCCTGGGGTCCCATGGGCACACTGACAAATTTATATCGCACCCCCCCCAGCATTATGCAGGCAATATGCAGGGTCACAGCATGGTCACTACTTACATCACACACACTCTGTCTGGTGTTTCAGGGCCACATCGATGACAGTCATGGACACTTGGTATTATGAAGTTTTGTCCCAGGGTCAACATAGTTGCATATTCAATACCATAAACTAAGTATCACCCAATGTTACGCATTCACGCCCAGTTGTACAGCTTGGTATCACACTGGGGTTGCTACAGGACTGTACAAGGTCACAGGATCACACAAACATCACTGAGCATCCCAATGACATCATTCACATGTGAGCCCATGGCCACATGAGGTCTTAAATGTCTTCCACATCATTTCAAGCCCACTTTCATGTCATACTCAATGGTACAAGTAGTCATATTCCGGGACATGACCTCACAAGGTTTTGCTGGGCCTTCAGAGCCCCGTCTCCCACTCCCTCTCCGCTGTCCATTTCTTTCTCACACACACAAGGTTCCTGTGTTGCTCTTCTTGTCTCCAGCAGTGTAAGACACACACACACACACACACACACACACACACACACACACACACACACA